CGTTGTCTCATAAAAATTCAAATCTGTCTTTTCCCTTCCATCCCATTATCGTTCCTCTTCTGCCTCCTCTTCCTTCTTCTTTTTTTTTGGTACAGGAAAATGAACTCAGTGCTTTAATACTGAGTTACATCCCAACCCTTTTATAATTATTTTTTGAGGTAGGATTTTTTTTAACTATTAAAGCTGGCCTCAAATTTGTAATCCCCCTACCTCAGCCTCCCAAATCACTGCGATCACAGGCATGTGCCACCACACACAGCTGGTATCACCCTTTAGTTCATCTTATCAAACATCTTTCTTTGATATATCTTCACAAATGGCCTTCTTGACATCTTGCTTGTCTCCCAAATCTATAGGCCAGTTTCTAGAGTAATTTAAAAGTGCATCTAAGGGATGAACAATGGCTTATCATCTCCAGGATATGTACTGTTTACTCTGCTAAGTACCTTTTGCTTATCATTTAAGACTTGGTGTAAATGTCACCTTCAAACACACCTACTGGTTAAGATGGTTTTCTTTTCCTTTGGAATCAACAGAATTGTAATGAACACAATGTAATTACTTGTTCACATTTCTGTCTTGGGGTTTCACAAAAGTTACATTATGAATTATTAATCATCATTTACTAAAGTTAGTTTGAGTGAATATTTTTGAGTTCAAGACACCAATTACAGACATCTAAAGAGAAGGAAGAGAGCAAAAAGTTGAAAAAGTATTCCATCTGAGATGTGATATGCCTTCACAATCCTCAGTAACATTGAAAAGCATGTGTGACAAAGCATTCAACTACTTAATGTGAGAGGTAATCATTTGTACATCACTGAGTATTGAAGGTCTGTGACACAAAAGAGCCAATGTTGTGTCTTTGAACATGTAGATTCGTATTTTAATATTATGTCCTTCAATGACTGCTTGCTTCTACCTTCATCCCTACTCTCACATAGAACGTACTTAAAGCAAAAATAATAATAATAATAATAATAAAAAAAATAACCAAACCGATTTTCTTTTTGGTACTGAGGATTAAACCTAGAGGTGTTCTCCCCCACTGAGCTACATACCCAATTATTTTCCTTTTTTATTTTGAGACAGGGTCTCTCACTAAGTTGTTGAAACTGGTCTTGCAAAGCTGTTGAGGCTGGCCCCCCTAAATTTGTGATTATCCTTCTTCAGCTTTCTAAGTTGCTGGGGATATAGGCAAGTGCCACCATGCCAAAGTCAAAGTGATCTTTGTAAAGCCAAATCATGCCACAGCTATGCTCAAATCTACCTAATGGCTTTCTATTTAATTTAGAAGTACCAACATCCCCTTACAGTGGCCTACAAGACCTGCGTGAGCTCCACATCACCTCTGTGACTCAGGGTCTATTCACCTCCCTATTGCTCACTCTCCTTCAGTTACTCCATCCCTCCACTGTTGTTCTAGAACTATACAGCGCACTCCTACCTCAGAAACTTTTGACATCTACTGCTTCCAATGTCCAGAAAGTTGCCTCATCTTGTCATGTGGCCTATTCTTTCTTTTCAACTTTCGCTTTCTTGGTGACCTTCTTAGTGAGATCTTCTATAACTAGCTCTTTAAAATTGTGATGTCTCTCTGCAAGTAATCCCTCTTGTATTTTTCCCTTTACACTACCTGGTGCATGCAATATTGTTATTTATTAATAGTAGTATTGTCCTCCAGAATATAACTTCTATGAAAGCAGGATAGAGAAGCATTTGATTAATGCATTTTAATTGATGAACTAAACGTTCTTGTAGTTAAAAATCCAAGAAAGTAAGCTAAAATACTCTTGAGTTTTATATCTACACAAGCTCAAATAATACAGCACATTTATTGTGACACAGATGCCTCCTTCTACCAATAGGCACAGAGTAGAAGCTTGAAAGACACTTTAAGAATAGAGATCCACTGGCATATAACACTCTTTCAAGGCATCATAGCTTAAAGTGGGAGCTGCTCAATTATGCACAAGTTCTCAGACATTTAGACGTGAGGAACAGTGCCCTTGTCACCAATGTCACAGCAGCAGATTTCACTAAACTCCAGTGAAGAAACACAGATATGATGACCAAGCTAGTACCAGAAGCATTTTTCAAAGTCAGATTCCAGACCTTTATTATGAACAGTTTTCCATTTGTTCCCTGCCCCAAAGCATCTGAAACTGCATTTGGAAAGCTGATCTTGGAAGGTTTTGTGGTTTAATAGAATAAAAATAGGGGCCTGGA